AAAGTTTTGCTTGCATGTGGTATTAATTATACTGTTTACTGATTTCTGCATTGTGTCATCTTTCTTTGGCATGGACACACATTTCTTTCAATCTGTTGGCTTGGTAGCTGTCTTCTAAATTTCTTGGCATAGACAAGTGAGCACATCCAGCACTACATCAGTTTGTCGAAACATATCAATTGGTACTCTGTAAATTCCTGGAGACTTGTGCCTTCAGTGAAGCTTGGACTTCTTTTTTCAATATGCTGCTTTCTTTTAAAATCCTTGATCATATGCTACTTCTTGAAATGTTTGAATATCCACCAATTATTTTTGTAGCACTGACTCTCTCTATCCTTTCCTTCTTCTTTTGATATTTCCTGAGTCATTCAATATTTTGCCCCAAAATTCCTTCAATATGGCAACCTGAGGCTTGAATGTTTTCTTAATTTTTTTCAGCTTCAGAAATACCAAGCACATTCTTCTTCTATGGTGTTCTGACTCCAGGTCTTTGCAAATTATAATACTTGAGTGTCTTCTCAAACTTTCCTTTGAAATTTTCTATTCAGCTCTTTTATTTTATCATTTGTTTCAGTCACTTACCTTCTCTACATTTAAGGCAAGTTTCAGAGTCTCTTCTGACATCCATTTTGGTCTTTTCTGTTTTTCCTTTCTTTTTAGTGACCTTTTGCTTTATTCATATATGATGTTCTGATGTCATCTCACAGCTCCTCTGGTCTTTGGTCATTAGTTCTAATGCATCAAATCTGTTCTTGAGACGCTTTCTAAATTCAAGTGGGATATTCTCAAGGATGTATTGTAGCTCTCATGGACTTGTACTAATTTTTTTCAGGTTTAGCCTAAAATTGCCTATCAGCAAATGTTCCAGAGTCGACCCCTGGCCTTGTCTTAACTGGTGATATGGAGCTTCTCAATTGTCTTGTCCACCATATTATGAAGTCTATTTGTTTTCTGTGTATTATATCTGGTGACGTCTATGTGGATAATCACTGTTCATGTTGTTGAAAAATGGTATTTGCAATAAATTATCCTTGGTCTTGCAAAATTCTATAATGCAACCTACATCATCATGTCTATCACCAAAGCCATATTTTCCAACTACTGAGTCTTCCTTGGTTTCCAACTTCTGAATTCCAATCACCAGACATTATCAATGCATCTTGACTGAATGTTTGAATTATTTAATTTCATCATCACTGACATTAGTGGTTGGTGTGTAAAATTAAATAATTGATCTTCCTTGTAGGTATATCTTCCTTGAAGATAGATCTTGAAACGCTCTTTTTGATGATGAATGTGATGCTATTCCTCTTCTTGTTGTTCACAGCATAGTAACTCATATGATTGTTTGATTCAGAATGGCCAATACCAGTCCATTTTAGCTCACTAATGCCTAGGATATTGATCCTTATGTGTTCCATTTCAGTTTTGATGACTTCCAGTTTCCTGGAATTCATACTCCATAAATTTAATGTTCTGATTCATACTCCATACATTTAATGTTCTGATTATTAATGGATGTTTACAGCTGTTTCTTCTCTTTTTGAGTTGTGCCCCATCAGCAAATGAAGGTTCCAAGAACTTTGTCATTAACGTCAACTCTATTTAGAAGAGGCAACTCTTCCCAATCATATTCTGATTACCTTCAAACTTCTGTTGTTGTACAACATAAAAAATCCCATGGGGGAAGTTCTATTCTCTGATATGGGATCACTGTGAGTTGAAATGGACTCAAATGCACATAACAACAGTTCAAATGAACTCTACACCAGCTTTTCATGATCTCTATGAGCAGATACTGGTTTTAAGTTTATATTTTGGAGGAGTTCCATTCGGTTTCCTATGATGGTCAGTGTTGCATGTCAATTTGGCTTGGCTATCATATCTGGCTATCCAACCAAACACCAATTTAAGTGTTTTAGTGGAGGTATTTTTTAGATGGAGGGACACTGGTAGCCATGGATTATGTATGAGCTGAGTTGCAACTGTAAAGTCAGCAATTCGAATCTACCACCTGCTCTGTGGGAGAAAGATGAGGTTTTAAGCCTCGAAAGCCTATATAAGGCCATTATGAGTCAGAAAAGCTGTCGATGATACAAATTAATGAAAATGGGAATAATTAGTTCCATATCCCACATGAAATATTAGCATTTAATAGTGACTCTGAGACAGTCAGTAGCTGAACCCAAAGCAGTGTCACCAATGGTGGAAGTCATAGGCACTGACGCAGATGGGTGGGATTGAGATTGAAGCCAGAAGATTCTTTCAGTATCTCTCATATCACACTGTTTACTAGATTTCTAAATGTTAATCTCAGCTTTTCTCTAGTCCTTTTGCCCTCAGGTAGAGTTTCCTTATAATTTTCTACTTTTGAAATATACTTACTCTATTTGAGGTAGCAACAAGCAAGACATATAAATGGAAACTCTCATCACACTGTCACTTTATGCCCAAGAGATGACAGTAGGACAGTCTGGTTGGCATTTGGGACACACATTTTGAATGCTCACACCCTTTGTGGAGCCTGAGGGGAGAGTTATTGCCAGAGGGGACTCTGGCAGTATGTGTCATCTACATAAGCCTAGTTCTTACAGTGAGCTCTGTAGAGGAGGGTCTCGACATTTTACTAAAAAAGCCAAAAATAACAACAAAAGTTTCCTTCCTTAATGCTTTTTGAAAACAGAATTTTTAGACTTTGTAGACGTTCAGATCCTTTCAGATTCTTTTGTGAGTTTCAAATAGTTCTCTCAAATCTTTGTACGTAAGCTAAAAAATTCTTCATGGGAAGAACTCAAATGTCCTGGAGGGAATAATCTATTTAAGGAAATAGTCATCTCTCAATTTCTGGAACATGGTTGAAGATGCTAGGCAAGGGAGAGATTAGTTTTGTACCATTTACTGATGTGTGAAGTACCAAAATTCCATTGTTCAATCTAATTGGGAGAAAGGCCTATTTGAATTAGTAGAAAGCTCCAGTTCTGGAATATTTTAAAGGAAATACAGTTTTTATTGTTTTCATATACTAGATGTGCATACTACCTGCTACCAAAGTAGTTCTGTGGAGCTTGTTATAATGAATAAATGGCTAGTTAGTAATTAGTAATATAATTGACATACAGAGAATTCATATGACTTACCGCAGTCCTTAAAAAGTTTGTTTACTTAAGTAGGTTAAAACTCGTCCTTAATATCTTTTGAAACTATTTTTTAAAAGCATTTTCTTGACAGGCATTGTAAAATAAATTCAGCATAGCCCAAGTTAAACAATTAACAATTTTGAAGTGGTTAAGATTAATAAGTGTTAGAGGTTTTTGAAATGAGATAGTCTCTCATACTGTGATAAGTTCCAATCCAACAGGTCTCTTTATGTGAGTATTGAAGTGGCTTGTTATGAGTAAGACATTTTAAGGGTAAACCACCTGGAGACCAGGATACCTCAAAGCTATTATTACAGTGCTCCTGAGAGTCATAAATAGGTACCTTTAGGCTAGACACATGGGTCTATTGACTCAAATATTCTGAACAAATGTCTATCTAAATGATACTAACAAAAAATGTTTTTGTGAGAAAATTCTTTTTCAGGATGGAAAGATTATTCTTAATGGTTTTGCCTTCCAGGTCTCCGAGAACCCTGAAAAGTCCTTAGGGACTAGCCTGGTTGGTGCTTAAGGTTAAATCATTAATTCCTTTTTTTAAAAGTTTTTATTGTGAATTGAGTGAAAGTTTACAGGGAAGGTCATCAGTTTTACATTCAACAAATCATATACTTTGTTTCATTAAAATGGTTATAATCCCCTCCATGTACCATCAGGTTTTGCTCTCTATTCATTTTATATATATATATATAAATTTTTTTATTTTAAACAGTCAGGCATATATAATAATTTACACCACCAAAGGGCACATTCTGCAAGTCTGTCTCCTGGACGCCAGCTCTTAGTCCCTCTCTTTCCATGAATCTAGAGTCCTCAGCTGCTCCCTCTCTCCATGTCCCCATCTCTGTCTCCATCTCTGGTGCCACTGCTTCTCCGGATAAGGTCTCACATTCTGCTTGTGCTCGCTCCGTTGATGGTCCTAGGGACTCTATTTCTGGACTGTAACATTAACTAAGGCCTCATTTTTGTTACAAAAACTTCTACCTTTACAGTGTGACAGTAGCGATTTCACTAATTCCTTTTGGAAAGAGCTGTCCTGGTTAGATTGGCTATGCTTCTAAATTGTAAGCAATGGACTGTTAACTGAAGAGTTGGTAGTTCAAACCCATCCTCTCTTTGGACAAAAGGTGAGGCTTTCTGTGTCTTGAAACCGTATCTATCTATCTATCTATCTATCTATCTATCTATCTATCTATCTATTTAGTCACTATGAGAACCACCTCAATGTCAGAGAGAGAGAGTCAAACAGGCACCTTAGGGATGACAAGCTGTTTAAATTGCCTTAATGAATGTGGTGGGATTTTGTACATTTGGAAGAAATCCTCTGAAAATCTTCATTTCTGAAATATTTTGAGGACTATCATGAAAGAATAATCTAACTGGTCCAAGATTCCTTGTTTATTATCTTCATCATCTCACTGAAATTTGAAGCTAGATTTATAACTGGAATTCGACAAAGGGTAGAAAACTTTCCATGTGACCAGGGTTTAAAGGAGACTTGTGAGCAATGGAGAACGGTTAGAATAATAATTTGGTCTGAATTAGTTGGGGTATAGAGGAAATACATACCATCAGTAAGTTTTCTATTCTGTAGATACAGCTGTAAGGAAGACAGGTTTACCATCCCTAGCCAGCATTTGAGCTCTAATCAGTCTTGGTGTGGCGCTGTAGGATAAGCAATGGACTGCAAGGTTGGTTTGAACTGCAAGATTGGTAGTTCAAATTCACCAGCCAATCCTGGGAAACCCTATACAGGGTCCTAATGAATTAGAACGGACTCAAATGCACTTAACAAAAGAAGTTAATATTTTGCCCCCACAACGATCAGACGCAATATTGACATACCTTCCATCTTGCCGGCTGATGGTAAACCCATAATCACTGTGGTGCAAGAAGCTAACATTCACTCCCACTAGAGGGGTTCCATCTATAGCCACCACTTGGCCTCGAATCACACAGGCACGCCTGCAACACAAAATCAAAGGCAAATATAAAGAGCAGGTTGAAACTAGATTCTAGAAGCCAAATTGTAGAAACGCTGTAAAACATAATTAAGCATAACAAAGAAACAATAATCTCACTAACCAGTTGTTGCTAAGTGCTGTTTAGTTGGTTCTGACTCTCAGTGGCCCACATACAATGGAACGAAACACTGCCTGGTTCTGTGCCATCCTCATAATCTTTCCTATGTTTGAACTCATTGCTGCAGTCACTATGACAATCTATCTCTTTAAGGGTCTTCCTCTTCTTTGCTGGCCCTCCACATTACCAAGCATGAGATCCTTTTCCAGAGACTAGTCCCTCCTACTAAGGAGCTCTGGCAGCATAGTGGTTATGAGTTGGGCTGCGAACCTCAGTGTCAGCAGTTTGAAACTACCAGCTGTTCCGCGGGAGAAAGATGAGGCTTTCTGCTCCCATAAATATTTGTAGCCTTGGAAAGCCTGTACAGGCTCACTATGAGTCGGAACCAACTCCACGGCACACAACAACAACAACAACAACTTTCACCACCTTCGTTTCCAGGGAGCATTCTGGTTGTACTTCTTTGAAGCCAGATTTGTATGTTCTTCTGGTTGTTGTTGTTGTTGTTAAGTGCCGTGGAGTCGGTTCCGACCCATAGCGACCCTGTACAGGGTTTCCGAGGGTGTAAATCTTTACGGGAGTAGAAAGCCTCATCTTTCTCCCGCGGAGCTGCTGGTAGTTTCGAACCGCTGACCTTAAGGTTCGCAGCCCGATTCGTAACCACTACGTAGTCTATGGGATATTCAATATTCTTCACCAACACCAACCAGTAATGACCACTATTAACATTTTAGGGAGGGTATGTGTATCTTTTTTATCCATCAAAACTGAGATTTTGTTATTTTTAAGTTACCATTGTGTTATAAACTATGTACATAATAATTTCAAAATCCTTTATATTTTCAATTATATTAATATTCCCTTAAAATACTATTCTATAACTTGTTTAACCCATCCCCTATTTTGAGAATTTATCTGTGTCTGGTTTTTTCCACATTGAATTTCTTATTATTTCTTTGAGAGAGAGTCCTAGTTGTAGAAGGATATTTTTCCTTCATTATAATTAGTTACATTAATTTATACACGAATACACTGTATATATAGGAGTCTTGGTGTGGCACTGTAGGATAAGCTCTAGACTGCAAGGTCAGTTTGTACCACAATGTCGGTGGTTCGAACTCACCAGCCGCTTCTCAGAAACCCTATATAGGGTCACTATGTGTCTGAACTGACTCAACGGCATTTAACAACAACAACACTGTATGTATTGCTAAAGTCCTTGCTGACCATCTCCCTTACAGTTGAAGTCTTCTCCGCAGAAGTATATTTGTGTATATTTTCTATACATTTATGTACATAGGTGTGAACATTTTTAAGGCTTGTGATGCATATTGCTGAATTGCTTTCTGGAAAATTAACAACAACAACAAAAAACTTACTTGGGTGAATTTTAAGAGTTAAAGTCTACAAAAGAGATGTCCTATCTGGCTATGGTATTCTGATCCTCTTGTGTAACATAAATAAAATATTTCAGGAAAATTTCCCTTCAAACAAATGAGTCTTATCCTTGCTAAAAAATATGATTTCATAAAACTAGTGAGGCGCCATCCCTACATAAGAACGTAGTCCACTAAAATGTTTATATTTTTAGCTGCAGCCTGGCTACCAAACTGTAACAAATTCCAGAAGCCTAAATTTATGAAGGTGGCATGACGGTTAAGCTGTGGGCTGCTTACTGAAAGATTAGCAGTTGAAACTCATCTAGCAGCTCTGCAGGAGAAAAGACCCGGTCTGTTGTTGTTGTTGTTAAGTGCTATCAAGTCAATTCTGACTCATCGTGACCCGTGGTGGGTTTGAACTTCCGATCTTGTGGTTTGCAGTCCAGTGCTTATGCTAGGACCTTATACTTCCATAGAAATTACAGTTAAGAATGAGAGCCCAATCCTAGTCTTCCCAGTTCGATGTTCTAGGACATACAGATTATAACTGGAGCTGGCAGTGTTGGTGAAGATTGGGCAAGGTCAGTGTTCCACCAGTGGAAGCTCTGAGAATTAAGTACAACTCAATCTTGGGCTGAAAGAAGGGATGTTTCGAGGGCAAACAGCATTGCAGAGTAACCCTATCAATTCCACTCTAAGATTATACATTCTCCTAGCAAAGTCAGTAAGTCTAGACAATGTATCTAAAAGCTCATGGCCACAGAGATTCTAGAAAACAAAGACTCTGATGGTTACCAGCTTGTTGTTAAGTGCTGTTGAGTTGGTTCCGACTCTGAATAGGGGTTCCAATCCTATATATCTGTGTTGTGGGAGCACAAAGTCTCATCTTTCTCTCTTGGAGTGACTGGTGGATTGGAACCACTAATCTTGTGGTCCACAGTCCACTGATTGCCTACAGAGCCCAGACATTCCCCTGGTTACCAGTTAAAGTTTAGCTTATGTTTTAACTTTAAAGTCCTATTTAATATGTGTATGAGTACAATAAAGCCCACAACCAAAGTCTACTACAACATCAGAGAAATGGGTTAGAAGTTATGGTAAGAGGATTTGTCCTGCATTATCCAAAGCTGTAATGGTTAGGGTTTTGTGTCAGCTTCACTAGGCCAAGATTTCCAGAGGTTCAGCAGTTTGGATGTGCTTATTCCTATGGTGATGAAACCTAATACAGGAATAGTTAACTTTCTGATGAGTGGCTATGAGCAGCTAATTAATTAAAGGGATGCTTCCTTGGCTGTGGCCTGTTCCCAATAAAAATGGACATGTGGGAGGGACTCAGTCTCTCTCTTCCATTGGGGACCTGGGACTCTACAATTGTAAGATAATAAATTTCTCTTTATATATATGTTTCACTGCTTTCATTTCTCTAGAAACGCCTGCCAAAAACAAAGGCCTTCCTGTAACACAAACTACAAGTCAGTAAGTATTACACAAAAGCAAGCTGCTGTTGTCAGTTGCTAACAAGGTGGTCTCTATTCAAGGTGACCTCATGTACAATGAAATGAAATGCTGCTCCATCCTCTGCCACACCCATAATCAGTTGGGGATCAGAATGTTGTGAGCTATATAGACTTTCCACTGGCTGATTTTTGGAAGTAGATCATCAGACCTTGCTTCCTAGTTGGTCTGGTCTTTTACCTTCCCTTATTCATTGTCCATCTTTTGCATACCTATGAGGTGACTAAATATACCATGGCTTGTGTTAGGTGCACCTTAGTCTTTAAACTGACATCTTTGCTTTTTAATGCTTTAAAAAGATCATTTTCAGCAGATGTGCCCAATGCATTACATCATTGTTTGATTTCTTGACTGCTGCTTCCATGCGCACTGATTGTGGATCCAAGCAAAATTTAATTCTTGACAACTTCAATCTTTCATCCATTTATCATGATGTTGCTTATTGGTCCAGTTGTAAAATTTTTGTTTTCTTTATGTTGAGGTGTAATCCATACTGAAGGCTGCAGTCTTTGATCTTCATCAGTAAGTGCTTCAAGTCCCCTTTGCTTTCATCAAGTAAGGTTGTTCCATCTGCTTATTGCAGGTTGCTAATGAGTCATCCACTGATTCTGATGATGTGCTCTTCTTGATACAGTCCAGCTTCTTGGATAAGGGGGCAGGGTAGGATAGGAGTTAATTTGGGACTTTCCAAGGCTCCTTCAGGTAACAAGGTGGTCTTTACAATAATGTCTACCTTGGTGGTCACTGATTCACTATTGGTAAGACAAGTCTACAGTTAGTTGTTTTGTTTGTTCACATTTATCTAGACATTGTGTTTTTCCACAGCTGAAATAGGCTCAATTATTTTTGTTTGTATTTTGTCAAGCCTAGTTGGCACTATTTTCTCATGTTTTATGACAGACACAGACTGATCTCTTCTCTTTGCTGCTCTTATATTCTCCACACAGCTTATATTTATGAAAGATTCAGGCTGATGAGTGAACATCTCATAAAAGTCATCATTATTCTGTGCATTTCTCTTGTTTCCCCCTCTTCTTTCATTCTGTATCTCATTCAGAATAGACTTGTCTTTTGACTCTTCTGCTCCTTAATATTCCTCATATTTTATGAAGCACAGAGATTTGTGTGATAACGACCCATCAAAGTCATCATTATTTAAAACATTGCTTACCTGTTCTTCTTCTCATTCAACCCACTCTTCATCATTCATAAATAATGTGCAAAGACTTGTCTTTCGACTTCCTTATTTTCTTTATCCCTCATATTTTATGATCTACACCACCTTACAGCATATGATAAAGCCCCATCAAACTTATTAATCTACACTTATCAGTATTGAGCTCTCTTTATAATGTATTACATTTTAAATGTTCTAAGACTCCTTATATTTTGCTGCATTTCCCCCATTATTTACACACTTTACATCATCCATCTTTCACAAGAATAATTTTTAGCTACTTTTATTCCTCGATTACTATGACTTGCTGTAATTTTTTGAAATACACCAGTCATCCTGTGTCAGTGTAAATAGTCTAAATTTTGGGACAGTATAGGCAGTCTCCGGATTATGAATGAGATCTAACCCATCCCTAAGTGTGTCTTTAAGTTGAATTTATGGTCAGAACAGGTGCATCATATTTAGCCTTACTTTAGTGCTAGAAAAGGTTTGAAGATTTTTCAATTATTTAAAAGCTGCATGTGTAGCAACTGGAGGTGGTTATGATGAAGAACTTGTTGCTAGTAATGGTTGCTTCATTTCAAAGTGAGGGCAAACTCACTAGTACCGGACAAGTACTAGTTGTCTGTGAACCGGACATTGAAGTGTTCTTTTAATTTGCAGTAGTCTTGATTGGCATGGGACACAGAAACATAGGCAACGTCTACTTCTCAGGCAAACTCTCCATTTCAAAAAGAAAGCTCTTGGATCTACTTGCTTCTGCAGGCTATATCAGCTCAAAATGAATCTTCATATATATTCTTGGCAAGTGT